GCAACTCTTAAGAAAAGTAGCCTATTTTCCAATCTAGGTCATAAGCTATCTGTGTGCAAATTTTCATTCAAATCCATTCAGTCGTTCCAGCATATTAAATAAATGAAACTTTTTTAACAGGTGACAACTCTTAAAAAAATAGCCTATTAACCAATCCGGCTCATAAGCTATCTGCGTACAGAATTTCATGCAAATCCGTGCAGTCGTTTCCGCGTGATGATTTCCCAAACATCCAAACATACAAACTTTCACATTTATAATATTTATAAGATTATGACCATTAATATTACCTAATAACCACTCAGGGGAGCTCTGACTTTTCAAATGACACCTCATTAGTGGAATTGCTTACATAGAAAAGTAGAAAAAGGGAGACTAACAAAAAACACCATAGAGAAATAATATATAAGATGAGGTGTCAAATGAAAGAGCTTGGGCTGTAGATCAGAGTTACCACTGAAAAACTTTCTTTCGTACCAAGATCTGGTTCTAAAACCTACCATTTAAGAAAACGGCGTTTGACGGCAGTAAATAAATTTTTTTTTGCTGGTTTTTATACTTGAAATAAGATTTCCAGGTAAACAAAAATCAGAACAATAGCTTGTATATACATACATACATATTTAAGTACATATTATACATAGAACACACAAAAGTGCTGTGTGCTTTTAACCAGACCCACCTATCGACAAGTAATTCGACCCGCTGAACCCGAATCTGAGGTCCGTTTGACTTCTACACCCTCAAAATTTCGAGTTAATTGCAAAAAAAGGCAAAAAATCGCATAGTTTAATGTTTTAATAAAGCCTTCGAAGTAAATGACGTGATAAATCGGAGCAGAAAACGAAATTCCGACGTAGAATTTTTATACATCACTCATTTGCATACACATGATTATTATGAAGTATATATACATATGTACATAAATAGGTAAGGTAAAAATAAACCTCACGGCTTTCCAAATGTCCGGGTCTAGGAGCCCCGGGCTGGCGGAAAAATCTGCGCGCTGCGGGTTTGCCATTATTTTCTTGTAGTTGCGGTTAAAAACTTTGAGGTTTTCTGATTTACTGGAAATATGTATGGCTAACAATAAGATTTATTTTTAATTTTAATAACATATTCTGTAAACATGTACATTTGTTATGTAGTAAGCATTTGAATTTTTCTTCTAGTGTCATTTCAAAAAATCTAACAACCTTGTCCTTGTTGAAACTATTACACAGGTCAACAACGTTTTGTTCTAGGAAAGTGTAGGGTCATTTTCGAAGTAATTTTTTGCGTAGAATCCGAATCCGGGGTTTAAATTGCTCTATCACGTCAGGACTTTGAGATATCCTAACCTAAAAGTGCAAAAAACGCTGTTTTTGTCCATTTTTGAGGTTATGTAGCTACGCAGATTTTGCTCTTCATAAAAAAGTAAACGTGGTATTTTAAAGTATAAAGTTTCCATGTTTGTGAATTTTTCGATATTCGAAAATCCATTGAGATAACATGAGACGTGATACGGTCGATTACATACTTAATTCAAAATGCGATATCTCAGTGAAAAATTAAGATATTTGAGCAAACTCAACGGCATTTAAAAGAGGAAGACTTATACTTTAAAATACCACGTCTACTTTTTTATGAAGAGCAAAATCTGCGTAGCTACATAACCTGAGCAAAATCTTCGTAGCTACATAACCTCAAAAATGGGCAAAAACAGCTTTTTTGCACTTTTAGGTTAGGATATCTCAAAGTCCTGACGTGATAGAGCAATTTAAACCCCGGTTTCGGATTCTACGCAACAAATTACTTCGGAAATGACACTACACTTTTATAGAACATTCCGAACCCATTTTTTTGCAGACCTGTGTTATCGATTCGAAGAAAAATATCTGATTTATAATCTTGCCTTTACGTCCATCAATTCAATCACTTGATATCCCTTTAGATACCCAGTGGACACAACTTTTTATAGCGTATAAGGAGTTCAGAGAATCCGAAGGTAATTGGTGAAATTCTGCCTATACCAGTAAGCAACGAGTTTTTTAAGGTGTTTGGCAAATAGTTGGACCCATCCAAGAAACAGAAAGAGGGTAAAACTGATATTGTCCCAATTTGGCAAGCCTGCTCACAGCGCTGACAAAGTGGCACACTACTACAAACCAGAGATGTTTTCTGTTTTATGAGCAAAGACACCTACTAAAATTTTAAGCGTCCTACAACGAGAAAAAAACTTACCAATTTTGGTAGGAAAAGCCCAAAACGGCAACCCTGCTGTAGACTGTAGACTTATGTTCGAAATTTTTTTTATATGGAAAAAATGCGGAGCACCGTCAATAAAAAAAATAATTGCCAAAAATCAACGGCAAGTCCTAGATATTATTAATTTGCAATTTGCTTTGATAGAATTTGACGGGCTACAAAACCGGATGCCAAAATTTTGTCTAAAGACGCAGATTAAGAAGTTAGAATTTTTGGTCAAACTTTGCACAATTTTCATAATTTTTGCACAAAGTCTGAAATTTGGATTTATATCGTGTTTGTTAAGTGATCAGCTATACTTTCATAAAAATATAATAAGCGTAAAATAAAGTAAAGAAAAATAGCCAAAACTTACTAAAATGTCGCGTCCCAGTTTTTATTTGGTTCACTGTATCTGTATCTCGGTAACCTATTTATCAATTTGTACCAAACTGAGTTAAATTATTGACCCTGGCATAAAAAAGTTATATGTTGAAAATTTACGAAATCGGGCTAAAATTACTACCACTTTCCACTTCCGAAAAAAAAGTATAGTACATTGCTTTAAAACATTGCACCACGTTGGATTTTGTATTCTAGCAGCTGAAGGAACGTATACTAAAAATTTCAGACATGTGCTCACGATTAAAAAACAATGATTTTCTCAAAAAATTCGACGTTTGTGAGAATTGCCCATATGTCCGAAATTATTTTTAATTGTATAGATTTTAATAATTATTAAGTGATCTTTAAGTCAAATCAATGTTGTACCAATGACATACCAACAAACCGACTGAATTTTTTGCTGGAAAAGTGCTTTTTCTGCAGAGAGTAAAATTGGAGTTTGACAGTTCCACAGGTTTGCACCTCCCGCATGATCAATAAGCTTCTTCCATGAGAGATATGGCAACACTGAAATGATATAGTGGTTGACCCGAACCTGGTGCCTACTGCTACTTACTACCATGTTTCTCGTCGCGGAGAAGATTTTCTCCGTTGTTCTAAATATTTTACACTTTGAAGACCTCAGTAACCCCTTCAGACTCGTGCTTTAGCTGCTTACCAATAAGCATAACTATACATCCATTGTACCCTTCTGTATGTATGTATAAACGAAATCTTGATCAAAAATGTATAACTTAATCTGGAGCAAACGGTCTCAAGTGCGCTGAGTGTACCAAACGCATTTCAAAGAGTTGTTGCAAACATGGCTTTAAGCCTGTTGATTAACATTAAAATATAATTTTAACATTGATTACTAAATGAATGATAGATAAAAGTATAATATCGGCAGATGCTAGTCATTTCAAGTTATATGCTAAAGACCACTCCTCTCAATGCTACCAGGCAAACTCAACCGAAACTCTAAACAAATATGAACTCATTTTAACTAAAATATCAAATTCAAATTAAAATAGTTTTTAATGCGATTTTCGTGTCAAAAATCAACCACCAGTCGGGTGTCTACCAGGTGGCAACAAAATGAATTAAATTATCAAATAGTCAGAAACAGTCCGATTTTACTGGAAATCGATCCCGTACTCGGTTCTCTGACTATTGAGAGGACAAAAAAGGAGTAAATAAGGTCCTCTCTCTGTCAGAAGTTACCACTTTTAGTCCGAAGATTTTTTGCTGATAAATTCTGGTAAATGTGTCAAACGAACAGCTGTAGTGTGTTTGGCAACCACATTGTAAACAAAAGAAAAGTGCACTCTGCTAATTTATGTTGAAAAGTATTTAATGACTTGTTTAAGTGGATTCTGATGAATTTGAAAGTATTTTTGGTTATTTACATGTGTGACCTGAGTGTGTTTATATACAAAATAAGCAAAAAGTTACAACCAAAGTTTGGAAGTTATGTTGAAGTTGACAGAAGTTAACATATTTTACTAGAAAGCGATCCCGTACTTTTCATTGTTACTCTCTGGCTCTGACCGAATTTTTATTTTTTGACAGTTTTACTAGTTTTAGTCCGAGGAACACGGGATTGCACCTAAAGCTCTTGGGTGCAGACTGGGAGTTGTCAGCGACAGGGGATGGAAACAGTTCAGTTTGTGTTTGTGTTCTGCAAATTGTTGATTTTGAATGCCTGATTGTGCAGTTTTGAAGAAGCAAAAAATTACTGTAACCATCAAGTAGGACAAAAAAAAAAAACAAAATAGGGTAAATGATTATTTTTGATAGTAGATTTTAAAATTGTCAACATTAAATGCGTTCAATGCCACTTCGAATAGCAGAGATACTAGATATGTCAAATGTACATACATTGTAGTATTTTCATTTTACTTCACCCAAAATTCAAGCAGCTGTTTCTACCTCATCCCTCCTCACCTGCGCACCATGCGTCTTTTGATGTAGTTAACAAATGCTTCATTTATTTAAAACTGTTTATTTCACATTTCTCCAAAACAAATCGCATTAACAAGTGGCACGTCTGTAGATTTTATCGTTTGGCGGATGCACCAAACCCCTCTAGAAATTTTTCGAGTATTGAAACAAAATTCTTTTTTTAGCACTATTACCATTTATACATACTAGTGTTCGCCCAGCGGTTGAAATTCAACCGCTAAAATTAAGGATAGTTTATGTGAGTTGAGTTGAGCTGAAATAAAATTTGTTGGAATGGGTTAAGTGTAGGGGAGTTTAGCTTAGTACTTAGCATAACATAACATAGAATAGCATTAGATTCAATAACATAACATATGTAGCATAACACATCACAATATAACATCGCACATTCTTCAGTTGTATTTCCTTTTTATCCCTATCAATTTCTTCCTCTCTATCTTTGTCTCTATCGCTTTTAATGTTTATGTTTATGCTTATCTACACCTTCATATTCATGTTCATGTTCATGTTCATGTTCA